TTCTAGACGCTTGAGGGTTTAGGGGTTTAGGGGTTTAGGGGTTTGGGGGTTTAGGGATTTAGGGATTTAGGGGTTTAGGGGTTTAGGGGTTTAGGGGTTAAGGTTTTAGGGGGTGTAGGGATTTAGGGGTTAGGGGTTTAGGGATTTAGGGGTTTGGGGTTTGGGGTTTAGGGGTTAGGGGTTTAGGGATTTAGGGGTTTAGGGTTTAGGGTTCTCGAAGCCCTTTTAAATAGTTCACAATGCCATTCCTTCAGAGTTCTCATTGGTAAAACTATCGCATGAGCCGCCCCCGAAGCCTTGTTCGATTTCTCTAGGCCTCTATGTTAAGTTTAAAGTTATAGTATACTTGTATAGTATAAGGACGGTTCAGGATTTTTGAGGTTTAAAGTTTTGGAGCTTAGGGCCAGGTCGGTAGGGTTAGTGGGGCACCGTTTGTGTAGGACTTCGGGCTTATAGGGTTTAGGGAACCCTATAAGCCCTAACCTTACACCCCCAAGTCCTGTACCCTAGCCCCACACTCTCGTGGCCTGAAACCCCCAATCCTCAAGCGGATTCGACAGCCCCAACCCGACCTGAATTAAAGTCACACCGGATCTGGTGTGTTCCTGCACCCTACACCCTGAATCCGTTACCCCACAAGCCCTCACTCTGCCTCATTGGATTCAGATTTTGGGCTTTGCGTAGAGGTTTATAGTCTCAAGGGTCTGACGATTTTCTGTGGCTAGATCCAACAGTAGTGCCCTTCTGAACGTTTGCTTCTGAGGTTGTCGGGCGCAAATGGAGTACAGAGAGAAAACAGTTGTCCTTCTTTCGGGGTTTGATATTGGGGCACCCAGATGGAGGTCTGAAGAAATTGTAGCACCTTTCCTCCGCATGGTCCGTTTATATTCAGTACTGGAAAGCCCCTGCGTTGCAGTGAGCCATCAGTTGCGCAGTGCTTATTTCTACTGGGTAGATTTTAGTGTTTTAAGGTCCTGTTCCTGTTTAAGCGGCTCTGACGAATAACCAATTGCATGCGGAACACGAGTAGAGACTGTGTTTCCTTGACAAGCCTTCTGTCCAAACACATTGGCGCTTACATAATACTCGACATGAAATTCCAATGTTAAGCGTTAATATCGACCCCTGATTAATTAGGAATATGGCCCTGACGATATATATATATATATACATATATATATATATGGCCCTTACTAGGAGGGGCGGTTGCTTATCAAGGCTTACATGGATTTGGCCTCAAATTCCACCAAGAGCCCCCTCCAGGCGATGGTGATGTTCGAGAAGGCGGAGCAGGAGTACAAGGCCTTCCTAGGGACTAAACTCTAAGCCCTATACCCTAAACCAATAGGCGGACGGAAAAAGGCGTTCAAAAAAAAGAACCTAAACCATATAGTTTTTTTTTTATCAGGTTCTTCAGGCTTTCTTAGGGTAATATAGGGTGTTACCTAGGTTGAGTCACCCCAACTGTAAAAAAAAGCTAAGCCCTAAACCCCTCCTACGGTTGATGATATAGACGCTGCATTACCCAAACTAGGGAATAGACCATAGTTCCCATGGTTTGGGGTCCTTAAAAGGTAATGCAGGACCATTACCCAAAATAAGGAAGGTACCACAGTCCCCATAGTTTGGGGTCCTTTAAAAGGTAATGCAGGATGTATATCATCCACCGTAATAGGGAGTCCTGAGTTGAGGCAACTAGAGTTCAAGGAGGGATGGTTTTTGGGGAGGCAAGAGGCTTCCTGTAAGGGCTGCTGTAAGAGTTTAAGGTTTACGGGGCTTCGACTTGAGGATTTTGCGCCGAGGGTTGATGCTTCAGGGCGGAGGGTTGCGAGGCTATTCTGATGACGACAGTGATGCTGATGATGCTGATGACCAAGATAACGATGATGGTGATGATGGTCGTATTTGTGGTGGTGGTGATGATGATGATGATGATGAGCATGTTCATGTCGCTGCCAATGTCGCTGCCATTGTGGCTATTGCTACTGTACCGCTGCTGCTCTTGATGATGTTGGTGGTGATCGTGACGACACCGGGTGGCTGCGAGGCGGTTTGATCGCGACTTCTGTGGATGATGACTTCGACGGTTTAGGGTTTAGGGGTCACGGGTTAAAGGTTTTGTTTAGGGATTCAGGGTTTAGGAATCTGGCCTCTAGGACTAGAGGTTTAGGTTCTAGGCCCTAGTCTTCGACCGGTGAGATTAGAACGGCGGTTGGCATCAACAGTAGCTGCAGCTATGTAGTTCCTGCTCGCCAGCAGCTTCACGAATTTCTCTTGCTTAACCAAGTTTGTTACCAGCCTTGACTGTTTTGGTTAAGAGTGTGATGAGACTCCCATCCTACGAGTTTCTGTGCGCATCCCCAGCTCTGTTTTCATGTTTGTTCCCGTGCTCCGTGTCAGGAGTTAGCTTCGTAAACTTCTAATAATCCCTAATCCCCAAACTCCAATTCCAAGACCCTGGGCCAAATGCCCCAAACCTTAAACCTCCTGGCCTGAACGTCCTGAGCGCTTCGCAGTACAATCTAGTTTGTCCCTGGGCCCTAACGTACTGTTGATGATATAAATCCTACAGTGCCCAGAATAAGGAATATACGATCATTCCCATAGTTTAGGGTCCTTAAAAGGTAATGCAGGACCATTACCCAAAATAAGGAAGGTACCACAGTCCCCATAGTTTACGATCCTTATGGTAATGCAGGGCTTTGTATCATCAACCGTAGTACACCGATGCTGGATCCTGGAAGCCCTGAACCCTCAAAGCCGGGAGCTCTCTAAACCCTACACGCTAAGCCCTGAAGCCCTAAACGCCCCACACTATAAACCTCGGCCTAGGGTCTAGGGAGTTTGGGACTTTAGGGCTCTAGGGGTTTTAGGGATTAGTGTAGTCTTTGCAGGATTGAAGAAGGGGCCCCCAAATCAGAGAGCTACTCATACTTTGGTAGCAAAGTATTCAGCCTTTGAACCGGTCATGTTTCTACTGCTCAACTTGTTTCTGTTGTTGGACAGGGCACTCGGCTACTAGGCTTTTAGAGCTACCCCTAGACCCTAAACCCTAAACCCCTACACCCTATACCCCTAAATCCTCAACCCTATAAGCCAGCCAGTTACCCCTAAGATTCCGAACCATAGGCAGACCCGAGTTCCTAAACCCCAAGCCCTCGACCCCGAATTTATAGACTGTGCAGGATCTGCTCTCACGCCGCGACATCATCTTAAACGATGCTTGCCAGCTCTGGGGTGTTGGGTTTAGGGCTCCGGGCTTTGGGGTTTAGGATCTGGGGTTTGGGGTTTAGGGTTTAGGTTTTAGGGTTTGGGGTTTAGGGTTTAGGGTTTAGGGACCCCGAAGCCTACACCCAGCAAGAACCACTGGCGGCAGCAGCACCACTGCCCCTGAGCTTTGTTCATAGGTTCATCAGGTTCAAGCCTCAAGACCTACACCCCACGCCCTTACAACCCCAACGCCACACCAACCAACCCCGAAAGTCTTAAGCCTTGCCAGATCCAAATCTCTCTTTCGCCTTGCAGTCCACGGAACTGAGGACAAGAGCAAGATCGAGAAGGCCATGCCTCTTCGGTCTTAAAACCCATATATCACCCAAACCCCTGGAGGTTTGTAAAGGTTCATCCGGTGAGAAAATGGTTTAGCAAGAGCTTTATACTGTCCTTACTCATGGAGCCTGGCTGAAATTATACCAAAGACCTCCATTCAGTGATCCTGCGCGTTTATGGAAAGTGAATGCGGAGGTTATCAAGGACCTGGACGAGAAGAAGAGCGAAACTCTCCGACGCACGTGGAAGAAAGTCAACAAGGCACGAGCTCTGTCCCGTGGGGGATCGATAGTCGAACGACTCCGAAAGTGGGTGGGATGAAGGTCATATGGGGCCTGGCATGAGCGTTTCCTACTTAGGACCCCTTACTAGTATAACTATACGATAACTTCCCCAACTCCGATTTGAGCTATGAAGGCCCCTATGTTAGGTCGGGGGCATCCCTGATGGGGTGAAGCCCAAAGAAGTTTGAACTAAGAGCCCGAGACAGTAAGGTTTTGGATTTGGGGGTTTAGGGTTTAGGGGTTCAGGGTTTTGTGTTTTTCGAGTCAGAGGCCTGTTTCCTGTGAGCCACTATTGAGGTCCTACACTGTAGCTATCATGACCTAGTTACTTGTGCTATCCTGCATCCCTGAACGCTGAACCCTGAAACCTGAAAAATCAAAACCTTCGTATTTCTTGAATCCTAGTCCCTTGTGCTCAGAACAGAAACCAAAATGGCTCGGTCTCTGTTCCGGCCTAGAGCCCTCAACCCCTGCTAAACCCCTCAACCCTAGACCCTGATTGAAGCAAACCATACAGAGATCTCTGGAAAAAATGCCTTAAGCCCTAAACCCTAAGCCCTAAGCCCCTCTAAGGCCCCAGATGCCGAACCGCTAAACCCCTGAACCCCGACTTGTCAAGCCCGTTTCGACGGCTTACAGCACTTCTTTGAAGCCCTGATACAACTTACGGCCTCCCCTCCACAGCCTCCCCTCCACAGCCTGTTTTCAGAACTCTTCAAGCACTCACAAAGCCTTAGGAGGCCGTTGAAAGGCCTTCATCATGAGCTTATGGAGGATTTCGAACCATCCAGCAGCCTCTGTGAAACCTTAGAGAGCCCTTCTAAAGCCCATATAGAAAGCCCCTCCTAAACCCTAAAGCCCTAAACCCCAAACCCCCAAACCCTCAACCCCAAACCCTATCAACCAAAAAGCCCCCCAAACCTTATAAACCCTCATAGAAAGCCCGGCATGAAACGCTTCTGCAGGACCCTAAACCCTAAACCCTAAACCCTAAAAGGACTTCGACTCCATCTTCGGCACCCTGCTGCCGAACGCCGGCGCGAAGCTTGAGCCTCCTCAGGGCATGGACGAGACAGAAGGCATTTAGAATTTGGGGGTTTAGGATTTTGGGGGTTTAGGGTTTAGTTTGGGTTTAGGGGTTTAGGGGTTTAGGATTTAGGGGCTTAGGATTTAGGGGTTTAGGATTTAGGAGTTTAGGGTTTAGAAGTTTAGGGTTGTTAGGGATAGGGGGGAGTTTGGGATTCAGGGAGCTTAGGAGTGCAAGGTTCTTGCAGCTTTGCAGTTCAGGGACAGGGTTGAGGGCAGTCAAGGGTTTGGGGTTGCGCGCTTTTGGCGTTCTTAGGGGTTGTTTTGGGTTTAAGATTTGGCGCTTGCATAAACGCTTCGGTTTTTTAAGGGGCCTACGAGGAGCTGGGGTTTAGGGATCTCTTGAGGGTCTTGTGAGGCTTCCACAGGGTTTATGCCGGTACTGGAAGGATCTGGTGATATGGGGGTTCAGGGCGGCCTGGGGCTGAGGGTTCAGGACTTCGCATTCTTCGGCATTTGCTATACCCAGTAGGGCTTACTGGGTTCTTGTTGAGGGGTTTAAGTTCAGTTACCAAAATAAGGAAACACTGTGATTTACTCTAGGTCCCGATCGTGGTAGCTTAAACTAAACTCCCCAGCTCAGACCCTAAAACCTAAAACCTAAACCCTAAACTCCTAAACCCTAAACCCTAAACCCTAAACGTTAGTTTTTGGATGTTTAGGGTTTCAGGATTTCGTCTCAGGGACTGGAGCTTAGGGTTCGGAGGTGCCCAGGAGTTCAGGCCGCGGAGATAATAGAGAGACCTTCACGGCTACAAGTCTGGGCCGTGAGGGTTCCTTCCTGATAAGCATACTGCGAAAAACCCTCAAAACCGTCTTCCGGTTCTTAAGAAGGGCTTCTTCTTTGAGGGTTGGGAGGCAGGCCTTAAAGTCTAGAAGCACGAAGCCCAACAGTAAACCATGCGAGCGTTTTGGCGTTGTTCAACTCCGTAAGTATGGAGCTCTAACCTAAACCTTAACACTATACGGAGTGTTTACATGCATGAAACCCTGCACTTCAGGAGGTCCCAGTCGCAATCCTTGCAATAGGGGCCTAAACAATTACCGATAGTATTTTGGGAGTTCCTTACTATAAGGTCTACTATCCCCCAAATCCCTATTCTGATTATTAAGGCCCCTATATTCCACTCGCACACTTCACAAGGTGGGAGCGTTAATCCCCACACTTTAGGTCTAGTTCTCCATCTGGGCCCCTTTAACCCTTTCAGTGGTTGTAGGCTTGTCCCCTAAACCCTAAACCCTAAACCCTAAACCTAAACCTAAACCCTAAACCCTAAACCCTAAACCCTAAACCCGAATCCGTACATCTACCCAGTACCAAACAGGGAGCCCTGATTATTCCTCGGTGACTGGTGGGGATCCTAGAGGTGGCTTTTTTGGGTGAAATAAGCTGTTACTGTAGAAGCCCCAATAATTTGCCAATATTCATCCCTTCGGGTTCCTTATCATAAGGGTTTAGGGTTTAGGGCTTAGGGTTTAGGGGTTTAGGGTTTAGGTTTTAGGAGATTATACTATGAAGGAGCGCAAAACCCTATTCTAATTTTAAGGCCACTACATCACCCGGCAGGTCTCGAGATCAAGGTGTCCTTCCACGGCGTGTGGAAGCAGTCCCTGACTGAATTGAGCAGCTTGGGTCCTTTAGTTTCACCCATTTTGTTTAAGATTGGATTTTGTTTAAGGATTGGGGTTCCTTTGTTTCGGGTTTGAGGTGCAGGCGGGTTCGGTTTTGTAGGGATGTTCAAGGATCTTAAGAGGCTGCAACCCCACAAGCGCCATGTATGAAACTCTCACCACGGCCCTACAAGCCCCTGAAAGCACCTCTTGAGTCGCTTAAGCTCGTAAAGCCTATAAGTTCCCGAGTCATGAACCGTACAACAGCAGGACACTTAGAAACCTCCTGGAGCCCTGATAAAGCCAGATCAGCACTTTTTTTAAAACGACCCTTTATGACACGAGTTTAGGGTTCAGGGTTTAGGGTTCCTACGAAACCCAGTAGGATCCCTACGGATCGCTTACAGGAAGCCTAAAGCCCAGCTTGATGGACAACCATATAAAAACCCTAGAAGGCACTACAACAAACGAGACCCTTATAGCACATCTGCAAGAAGCCCAAAGCGCAAATCGCCTGAGGCGGTGGTCAGCGTTCCCTGTTGGCCCTGTCGCTGGTGTTGGCCCTGCTGCTGTTCAAGCCGGCTCCGATGCCCCCTGGGCGAAGTGTTGGGGTTTAGGGTTGGGGGGGTTCAGGGCAGTTTAGGGCTTAGGGTTTAGGGTTTAGGGTTTGGGTTTTAGGGTTGAGGGTTGAATTCGGGTTTCGTCGCCTTTTTGGTAAACCCGAAATAGCAAAGCCCTATCAGGCTGTCCGCCCTAAACCCCGAAAACGCCCTTCTCCCCCATGAACCCTAACCCAAAACCCTAAACTTTAAACCCAAATCCCTAAACCCTAAACTGCAAAAGCCCTTAGTACCCCCTAAACCCTAAACCCTAAATCCCCCATGGTTTCAGAATTTCAGGTACATCCTGGACGAGATCGACTCTGCTTTGGACTTGAGCCACACGCAGCATCTTGGGCGCAAACGTCGGGTTGACTACAACTGCCTTGAGATTTACCCATAGGCCCCATAGCAGTTCCTTTTTGTGGCTTATATTTAGGATCCTATTAGGTAATCCCCGAAAGGAACTACTATGGGGCCTATGGGTAACTATACATACTATTTGGGGGTGGTGGGGGGTCCTTATTATAATTATGGTATAGTAGACCCCAAAACCCTTCCTAATGAAGAAGGCCCCTAGAGTATGCAAAGTGTACTTTTTTGGCATAAGTATGATATAATAGATCCCAAATACCTATGCTAATTATTAGCAATTAGGCCCCTACATTACCTCAGGGCTTCCGGGTTTAGACGGGCTCGAGAAGGGTTTCTACAAGGGTTTAGGGTTTAGGGCTTCGGGTGGCTTCTCTGGGTGATTTGGGGTCTTAGTGTTTAGCTTTGGGTTTAGAGAGTCCTTTGCTACCCCTTCGATGTGGCTTTGTCTCTGCGGAACAGAAAATGAAAGTTAAATCCCGTTTTACGCTACGGGACACAGGGTCGGATCCTGAAACCCTCGGCATGCGCAGACGGTAGTAGACATTGACATTAGCTTCGGTCAGATTTCGTACGACCGAGGGTTTGGAGTTCCGAGCTCACCCAGAACTCAAAACCCTAAGGTTCACTCAAGGTTTACGCCCAATATATATATATATATATATACAAGGCCCTGCACCCAAACATCTTTAAAGCAGCAGCTGCAACAACTCGAAGCCTTCAGCCCGAGGCCCTAAACCCAAAGTGCTAAGACTTAAACCCCTCCTCGAAAACAAACAAGCAACGACACCTTAAGTTTTAGGTTCCTGACTTAAATACCCCCCCCCCCCCACACCCTAAAGCTTAGAGCTCTGACTTAAATCCCCCCGACACCCCACAGTTTGGTGGTCGGAGAAACGATGGATCTCTCAGGAACATCGGCCACATGATCCGGACGCATTTCCCGCATTCCCAGCTCCGTGGCGACAGGACTTAGGGGGGTGTAGGGTTTAGGGTTTCGGGTTTCGGTCAGGGGTTTCGGTCAGAATATGGGAAAGATTTAGTCTTCATGGTCCGCTTACTTTTTTTAAAGGGGGGGGGCCAGGGTTGAAGTCAGTTTGAGGCTTTCTGAATTCTAGGGTCTAGGACTTGGAGGTGTCAGCTTTAGGTTTTTTTCTGGAAGCTTACCTGAATAATTCGGAATTCGATGGCATAGTAATTATAGACCCCCCTCCCCTCCCCGATAGATTCCCCTCCCCTCCCCGCCCCCTCACCCGACGCCGAGTATCGGAGCACGTGGAAGTCCAACAGAGGAACTGACTATTCCGCCTCGTTCCCCGATTCCGCACCTGGGTTTGGAACCCAAAACACTAAACTGCCCTAAACCTATAGGCCCCATAGTAGTTCCTTTTTGTGCTTACATTTAGGATCCTCTTAGGTAATCCCCAAAAATGAACTACTATGGGGCCTATGGGTAAACCCAACTGTAAACCCTAAACCCTACTAAATTAGGGTCCAAAATGGAAGCCACAAAAAGGAACTACTATGGGGCCAGTGGGTAAACCCTAAACCCTACCGGGGGTTTCAGGGTTTGGGGTTCCGGGCCTCGGCATGAGACTTGACTTATGGAAGGGTCATCGTAAGTACATCAACTTCAACGGCTAGCATCTGGTTGAAACCCTGAAACCCTATGATTTTTCCAAATCCGAACCTTAAACTCCAAACCCTAAGCCTAAACGCCCTAAGCCCTAAACCCTAAACCCTAAACCCACAGGAAAAAAGTTTAAGGGCATGATGAGTATGAGGCTCGAGGGCAGCTCGACTCAAGGCTCTAAGCCCTGAGCCCTAGAAGCCTCAGAGAGCCCTCATAGGTCATAGGAACTTCATAACTTTTGAGACAAATCTAGCAACTCTTCCTAGAACCCCCTTTATAGAGCACCCCTTATATAGCAGCCGTTATATAGCAGCCCTTATACAGTAACCCTTTTTATAGTCGCCCCTAAAGGCCCGAAAGCCAGAGGTTCATCGTCGTCTCTCTGAAAGAGGGCATGTTCAACCATGCCAACGTCCTCTTCCGTACCAGGCTCCTGGGCTGGCGCCATTTTGCTTGTGGGATTTCGGGCTTAGGGTTGTAGGTTTTGGGTTGTAGGGTTTTTTTGGTTTTGTTTAAGGACTTGCTTGGGGCTTCTAGGGTATGTACATTGAGGGGGATTCGGATTGGATCAGGATGTCGGAGTTTCAAGTTTATGCTGAATCCCAGGTCTCAGTCCATCCATGAGGGCCCCCGGAATACTACCGATCTGTCTGTCTGTCTGTCCGTCTGTCTGCCTACTACGGTTGTCTCTCAGTAGAACGGTGCTGCTGGTTGTTCTGCTGTATCTATGTTGCGTGCATTCCTGCAAGTGAGATCTTGTTTGTGTGTGTGTGTGAGCTTGCATGTGTGTGTGTGTGTGAGTGGGAGAGAGACAGAGAGAGAGAGAGAGAGAGACAGACAGAAAATGAGAGAGTTGAGTGAGTGAGTAAGTGAGTGAGTGAGTGAGTGAGTGAGTGACTGAGTGACTGAGTGA